TACCCGGGTTTTCCCAAAAAAAAAAAAATTTAACGGAAATCCCTTTTTTCCCGTGGAATTAAAAAAAAAAAAAAAAAAAAATTGAAAAACGTTTCGTTCGTTCGTTATTATTATTATTTACTTTCCAAGAAACGAATCGATCGTGTCAAAAGAATCCAAAAAAAAAAAAAAAAAAAAAAAAACGTTTATTTTTTAAATTTATTATACTTTTTAAAAAGAGAGAAAGAGAGAGAGAGAGAGAGAGAAAAAAAAAACGGTTAATTAGATTCCGTGCGATTCCAGTTTTTCACTAATTAGGACGTTTAATTACGATGTTGGTTCCAATTACAAGGCGACGCATTTAAAAAAAAAAGGCACTCAAATGACGACAGCATTTTGGCAATAGTTTTCCTTTTTACTTCAACGTCAATTAAATTATTTTCCATCTCTCTCTCTCTCTTTCTCTCTCTCTCGCTCTCTCTCACGCTCTCATTATCGTTATTATTATGATCGTTATACTTTTTTTTTTGCTTTATTAAAAATAAATTTTTTGAAAAACGCGTTTCCAGGAATTTTAAACGACTAATTAAGAAAATTATACGTCAAAAAAATTTTCCTTTTTTTTTGGAACTTAACCGGAAGTTGTTTTTTTTTTTTTTTTTTTTAATTTTGTTTTCAAAATAAATTTTTTTTCTTAGTAATTATTATTATTATTATTTTTTTAACTTAAAAAAAAGGGCCAAAAAAAAATAAAAAATTTAATTTTATCGACAAATTTGAAACAAAAATCTGTTTCCGGTTTTCTGTAAAATTACAATATGGCGGCGTGGAAAATGAACTGAAAATTAATTTTTATTAATTTTATATTTAATATTTTTCTTTTTTTTTTTTTGTTTTTCAAATTATAATAATAATAATAATAGTAATAATAATTCTTGGAAAATTTCACTTCGACGAGTAATAAATAATAATTTTTTTTTTTGTTTAATTTTGAAAAATTTTTACCGCCATTTTGAATTTGATTTATAAAAAAAAAAATGGGGAGGAAAAAGGGAAATTACGAAGAAACGGAAGCGAAAAAAAAATCATTTCGAATTTTTTTTTTTTTTATCAAAAAAAAAAAATCAACGAACGTGTGCGACTGGCTCCAGTTTCTAAAAATTATGACTTTTTCCTTTTATCTGGGGAGAAAAAAAAATAAATAAATAAAAAAAAGGGGGGTTCGTTGACCTTTTTCATACGTGTTTATCTATATGTGATTTTTTTTTTTTTTTTTTTTTTTTTTTTTTACGTGGGCGACTTATAAAATTGATTTTTGGAAAAAAGGGGGAAAATATTTCAATTTTTTCATTTTTTTGTTTCCGAAAAAAATAAATAATAATAATAATTATTATTATTATTATTATTATCATTAGAGTTTTTCATTTAGAAATGAAAAAAAAAAACTTTTAAAAAATTTTTATAAATTATTAATTTGATTTATAATATTTTTTATAAATTTTCTTTTTCAAAACTTTTCCAAAATATAATTTAAATTTTTTTTTTTTCAAAAAAAAAAAAAAAAGTCGGGAATTCGAAATTTTTATTATTATTATTATTATTATTATTATTATTATTATTATTATTATTATTATTATTATTTGGAAAACGCATGTTTTTTTAAAAAGAAGTAAAAAAGAGAAAAATTTTTTTTATATCACGCGAAAAGTGCGGGAAATTGTAAAACCCCCCAATTTAATACCCCTTTAATCTCCCATAATAGGATTAACGCTGGAAAATTTTGAAAACCAAAAACGGTAAACGTGTTTTCCGAACCTTAAAATAAAAAAAAAAAAAATTTTTTTTACAAAATGTCTTTCTCTCTCTCTCTCTCTCTCTAACCGAACCCAAAATTTAAATTTGGGATTTTTTTAAAAAGCCACAGAAAAAAGGTTGCTGTCGTTGTTGTTATTGTATCCGGTTTTTATTTTTCATCCTTTCCATCGATTCCATAAATTGACTTTTGTTTAAATTTTTTTCCTTTTTTTTTTTTCTCCAGCGACCGAAAAAATTCCATTAAAAAAAAAAAAAAGAAAAAAAAATCGTTATTCGGCGGTTGTTATCACGCGCATGAAATTAAAATTTTTCGGTAACCCTCTAATATATATATATACGCAACTTTAAAATAATCATCTTATTTACCCAAAGGTTATGACTCAAATTAAAGGTTAAAAGGTTAATTAAGGTTATTGAGTACCTTGCGGTTTACATAAAAGTTCCTTTTTCCGGTTTTATAATGTCACACGTAAAAATGTCAAATTTTGTTTATTTATTAATTTTGTGTTTATCATTACTTAATTTATTTCCGTTTTTTATAATGTCGAAGAAAACTACGATGCTCCCCTCACCTCCCCTCCCCTTTTCCCCTCTCTTCCCTACTCCTCAATCCGCCAAAATCGAAAATTGAAAATTATCCGCCATTAAAAAAAAAAAAAAAACATTTCGCGAAAGAGACAGAAATTTTGTTATAAGGTAAAATTAAATATGGCGGAAAGAAAATAAAATTTTCCATTTGATTTTCTAAAAAGAAAATTTTTTCTTTCTCTTTCTTTCTGTCTTTTTTTTGAATATTATTATTATCTTTATCCTTTATCGTTTTCACCTCGTTTGAAAATATATATATATTAACTTTTTAAGGTTCAAAAAAAAAAAAAAAATTTTCTTTTCATTCTTTCTTTCTTTCTTTTTCCTTTTTCTTTTTTTCTTTTTTCTTTTTGATTTTAAATTTAAAACTTTTTTAAAGAAGAAAAGTTTAAAAAAAAAAAAAAAATGGAAGAGAAGGAGGAGGAGGAGGAGAATTTAAATAAAATCTTTATTTTTTACGTTTTTTTTTTTAAATCATTTATTTCGAATGATAAAAATATTATTATTATTATCGTCGTATAAAAAAAATTTTCCGACGTCGATGTTTGTGTGTGTGTGTGTGTGTTTATGTCGGATTAAATTAATATTCTTTTTTTTTTACGATATGATTTATTAGAAAAAATTTTTATTATTATCGTTTCTCCAGTGAATAATAAATAAATAAATAAATAAATAAATAAATATAAACAAATAACGATCCGCCATAATTTATTTTTAAATGAAAAAATTAAATAATAGTAATAATAATAATAATTTTTAAATATTTTAAAATAAAAGAAAACGAAAGAAAAGGCGGATTTAAATTACGTCGTGGGTGGTTTGGGAGGAGCGGGGAAAAGTGGAAAATGAGGAGCGAGGGTGCTGGAGGGGGTGGGAGTGGGAGTGAAACATGAAGAAAAAAATAGATGCTCGGTAATAAAAAAAAAAAAAAAAAAATTTTTTTTATTTAACAAAATTTCAATTGAAAATTTATTTAAAAAAAAAAAGAGGAGGAAAGGGGGGGGAGGGAAATTTTATTGCGCAAATTCGAATTTACCATAAGAGACAGATTGACGTCAATAAATGGGATTTCATTAAAAAAAAAAAAAAAATAAGCAGAAGAAAAAAAGAGAAACCATGAAATAACATGATGAGGAGGAGGAGGATTCGAGGGTTACACATACAAAACGAACGAAATAATAAAAAGAAGGGAGGGGAGGAAAGAGGGAATTTTCCCTCTTTACATTAACAAAACGCGGGATGATGTCTTTACTGATAATAATAATAATAATAATAATAATAATAATAATAATAATAATTTTAAATACGCGTCGGAAACGTGTCGAATTTTATATTATTTTATTACACCTGAGACTCGTGTAATTATTTCCGTTACTTTTTTTTTTCGAAAAGAAATCCATTCACTAGAAAGGAATATATTTTTTTTTAAAAAAAAAGAAAACTTAAATCAAATATTTAATAATTTTCCGGATTTTAATTTACAAAATAAAAAAAGAAAATTTTTTTTAAAAACCTTTTTTTTTTTGTAGAAAAACAAATATATATTTTGTAATTAAAATAAGTAACCGTCGGCGTAATTCTAATAACGTTTTTTCTCCCCCCCCCACTTTTTCCTCGTTTTAATTTTTTATTAATTTTAATTTCACGTTAAAATTTAACCGTTTTCTTTTTCTTTTTTTGTTTTGTTTATTTATTTAAAATTCTTAATACAAAAAGGAAATAAATAAATAAATTTATTTGTTTAAAACAAAAAAAACTGTTAAATATTTTTATTTATTTATTTATATTAATAATTAATGTTACAGGTTAGAAAAAATGTCGTCGACGATTCGGATTACGTATGATTAACCACGTGATAAATTTTAAACCAATCAGAAATGTTTAAAATGACGTAATCGTTTTCGATTGGTTAAAATAACACCCCGCATGATTTATAATTTGATTTTTTTTTTTTTTTTTACATACGCGAACGTTGGAAAATTTTTGTTTAAAAAAAAGGGAAGGAAAAAAGAAAAATGATTTTTTGAACGTATGACCTGTTTCTAGAGTTTTTAATTTTCCTGGATGATGAAAATTTTTTTTTTTTTTTTTTTTGTTTTATAAAATTACCTGAATGAATTGTTGGAAAACTTTTCTTTTTCTCTCTCTCTCTCTCTCTTTTTTTTTTTAAAAATATCTTTTGTGATATGCGAAAATAATTACAAAAGTTATTAATTTTTGAAAATAGTTAGTTTTTTTTTTTTTTTTTAAAAAAAAAAATTTTTTTTTTTTTTTATTCGCAGCATCCATTTTGAAAAATAAAATTTAAAATGTTACACGGGGAAAAAAAAAAAAATTAAAATTTTTCTTTTATTTTTCTTTTTATTTTCCTCTTTCTCTTTCTCTCTCTCTCTCTCTACATTTTTATTGTTTCCTTTCTTTTCTTTTCTTTTTTACGTTTTTTCATCTGATTAAACTACATTGTTTTAAAATTTGATATTAATAATAATAATAATGGGGTTTTTTCTTTCTTTTTTTAAAAAAACGTGACTTTTTCTTTTTTGTTTTAAAAAAGAAAATTTTTTTTTTTACTTTTTTCCATATTTTTTTTTTTGTTTTTTTGTTGTGTTAACGCTTTTTTTTTTTTAAATCGATAAAAAAAGGAAAATTTTTAATTAGTCATTATTAAAATATGCTACTGTTTGCAAAATTATTATTATTACTATTATTTTTAATGAAAATGAGGAAAAAGAGGAAAAAAATGACTAAACATTATGGGAAAAAAAAATATTTTGATTACGATGATTTTTTTTGTTTAATGAAGAGGTTTTTTAATAACGAAATAATAAATAAAACTCTGGGACGGTTTTTTTTTTTTGGAGGGGGGGGGTAAATTTTAAAATAAATTTCCGGTTTTGATAAAACCGATAACGTGATAACATGCACAAACACACACACATGCTTATTTATGAACTTTTGAAAAAAAATTTTTTTTTTTTTTTTATTTGATTTTATTCAATTTTTATCATCGGAATATATTTTCCTCCGCTTCACGTAAATTTAATAAAAAAAAAAAAAATGAATCTTGAATGTGATTGGTTGATTGTTAGCCAATGAAAATGGGCCACGTCGTTTGTAAATCGATTCGCGATTGTGATAGCCAATGAAATTGCGCCACGTCATTTAATTCGTTTTTATTTAAAAATTTTTTTTAAATGTAAATTTATTTTTTAAAAAAATGAATCTTGAATGTGATTGGTTGATTGTTAGCCAATGAAAATGGGCCACGTCGTTTGTAAATCGATTCGCGATTGTGATAGCCAATGAAATTGCGCCACGTCATTTAATTCGTTTTTATTTAAAAATTTTTTTTTAAAATGTGAATTTATTTTTTAAAAAAATGAATCTTGAATGTGATTGGTTGGTTATTGACCAATGAAAATGAGCCACGTCATTTAATTCGTTTTTCTTTCTTTTTTTAAAATCGTTTGTCATTTATATTTATTTTGTTCGTATATTAATTCATTGGTGAAATTAAATTTTGGAAATTTCTTTGATTTTGTTTAATTTATAGTAATAATAATAATAATAATTGAAAATGTTTTGTTTAACAAACAAATAAATAATACATAAATAAATAAATAAATTATTATTCATTATTTTAATTTATTTGATTTTATTTATTTATTGTTTATAAATTTAAAAAAAAAAAAGAATAAAAATCATTTAGAGTTCGTTGTTTTTTTTTTTGTTTTGTTTTTTTTTGTTACTCTTTTCATTATTATTTTATTTACCTTCTCTCTCTCTCTCTTTCTTTTATTTATTTAGTCTGTTTTGTTTTATTTCTCTTTTTTTTTCATTTAAAATCTATTATAAAAAAAAAGAAAAAAATTTTTGAATTTTTCTTTCTTTTTTTTTTTTCTCTATCTTTACTAAAAAGAGAGAGAAAATGAGAGAAAGAGAGAGAGATAGAGTTTAAACCCATTAGCAT